CTACAAGGGTTACTATAAGAGTTTAGGAGTTAGGGCTTTAGGGTTTTAGGGTTTAAGGATTAGGGCTTCAAGGCTCAGAGCCTCTATAGGGTGTGGGGATTTCGGGCTTAAGGTTTATACGGAGTTCCGGCTTTGGAGCTTAGGGATCTATGGATTTACGGTTTCGGGGATTCAGGGCTTCCAGGGTCCGCAAGGCTAGAGCTATTCTCAAGGATTTTGCAGGTTTTTATAATATTGAAACGGTTTTATTGGGGTTTGTGTGGGTTGGAAGCAGTCAGTTAGCTTTGGCAACAGACTAGACCATGTCCTCACATCCGAAGACCACTACCAAATCAACAACTGCAACTTTGCAAGTGGGCCCAACTAACCCTAAACCGTAACCCCTAAACCCCAAACCCGAAATCATGACACCCCAAAGCCCATAATTTAATTCCCGGCAGCTCAGACCCCTGAGTTTAGGCTGCGGAGACTGCAACCCTGAGACCCAAACTTGCCAGAGAGCCAAATGCCCCTTAATTCAGGAATCTATCTTGAGTAGGAAGGGGCTTCATGTTAGTTGGAGGTTCATGGGTAGTTATATGTGGGGTTATAAGTTCCCTAATATGGGTTATAAGTATAGTTACCCTGCCCTACGTATAACCCTACTTATAACTACCCATGAACCTCCAAGAATAGGTTAACAAGCTATATGCCCTCATTCAGGGGTATTGGACTCACTTGGCCTGGACCCTGAGTTTAGGGTTTAGGGCTTAATTACGGGGTTCGGGCTCGCGTTTAGGGTTTCGCGTGTTTTGTGTCAGTGTTGATACGTGTAGATACCCTACGGTTGATGATATAAATCCTCATTACCCATGAAAAGGAAAATACCATAAAAACCATCTTTTGGGTCCTCAAGGTAATGCAGGATTTATATAACCCTAAACCCTAAACCCTACATAACATCAACCGTATGAAATCTTGACCCTGTGGGTGTTATCCCTGGATCCTTCAAGCAGGCACAAGAAACCCTACACTCGAAGGCCCGAAAGCCGTACGCCCTGCACCCCTGGACTCTTGCAAAGAACGCTAACAAAACCTCCGAAGACCATATGAGTTTATATAACACAGCTAAACCCTAAACCCTAAACCCTAAACCCTAAACCCTAAACCTTAAACCAAACCCCTAAGCCCTAAGCACTAAACCCTAAGCCGAAACTTGGAGCCCTCATCCCCTGACGACCCTCTGAACGTCCGAGTCGCCACGACAGAGCCCTGGCGCGCGATGAGGCCGGATCCCGGTGGCGTCCCGGCAGTGGAGCGCATCCTGGGCTCTTGGGGGCTCTGACAGGGTTTATAGGGTTTTGGGGGGGGTTTAGGCAGCTGTTTGGGAGGGTTTCGTTAGGATCTTTACAGAATTATATAGGGATGTATATTAATGTTCTACGAGCTAGCCAAGAACTTAGTTTCGGGCTCAGAAGGCGTTGATGCTTTACACGGCTTGTACAATAAAAGTGTATAGGATTGCATAGGCTTTCACCAGGTGTCCAGCAACGTAGACCTAAGTTAACACACCAAAACTTAGGACAACACATCATTCTGCACTCGTCATTCCTCCGCGGGGTATCTCAAACTAAGTTCCTGAACAAATGCCCAGCATCAGAGGCGATCCGGAGGCGGATTGCATCCTTATTTGCCACTGTCCCAGGTCAAGCAAACACACTGCAAAAATCTTTCGTGATAATACTTACTTATATAAGACCCCTATTGTGCACTACACCCGAAGCCCACCAAACCTAAACCCGAAACAAACTCACCTCACGAAGGTTGAACCCTACATCCTATCTAAACCCCAACAGCCTTGAACCCTAAACAGCCTGCCGAACATGAGCACCCAAGAAATATATAGGGGCCTTTGTAATTAGAACAGGGTTTGGGGCCCATTGCTACAATAATTGAAACAAGGAGCCCCCAATATAGTATTGGGAATTATTAGGTTCGTGCATTCTGAGACCCTAAACCCCTAGACCCTGCACATTAACCCTAAACCTTAGAACACCAAACCATAATAATGAGCACCCAAGTATCAAAGGCCTGGCCTGGATCAGCGGAGTGCCAACTGGAGTCCTGAGTAAATTAACGGGTATTGGGCTCTCTGGGTTAGTAAGAAGAGGGTTCAGGGTATAGGCTTGGGGCCTAGGATGTCTCAAAATGTGCTTGATGAGATTGTTTGGTGTGCCAAAATCTTAGCAGTCCAAACCCTAAACCCTAAACCCTAAACCAACGACAACGACAGTTGCAAGATCCTCGGAATGCGATGAGCCCACAGTTAGTCAACGTCAGATAAGAAGAAACGCCGGCAGAAAGCATCCTGTTTGCATGCTCCAACTTTTCGAGTTATGCTCTAAACCCCGTGACGCCGTTGCCGCCCAGAAACGATCCTTTTCAGAGCTCGAGGTTTAGAGCTTGCGGGTTCAGGGCTTAGGGGCTGAGTTTTGGCGAGTGCCAGTGCTTAAGACTCTAGGGGTAAGTTCCTGTCGGTGAAGATGCGTGACGTAGATCTCTTTGCGGATGCATGCATGTACGTGTGTATACATTTACGTATGCAGGCAGGTATATATGCGTATCTTGTTCATATTGGTATATGGGTATAAACACAGCACGAATACAAATTCATGACATTATGCTTTCAGAAAGTTGATGCACTACGTACAAGTGCAAACAGTATGAGCATATGCTCATATGCTAGTTGCAAATAAAAAACTGGCCTGCACTGCTGCCTGCCCGCCAGAATGTTTCACACATGCTATACTTGATAAAGGCTTGCAAAGGCTACTACAACCCCCGACTGTTATGCCCTCCAGTGCTTCCGGGGCACCCAGGACCCTGAACGGGGGTAACTGGCATCACCGGCGGTGCTGGGACAGCTTGTGCCGGAAAGTAGCCGCTTCCCGCAGGCGTAAGGACACCTCTCGTTCATGTGTGGCTGCGTGTATCTTGAACTGTAAGCCTGTAATTAGGCGACTCTGCAAGCCCTTGGAGGGTCGGGGGACTTAGTAAGTGGGTATTAAGTAGACTTATAAGTACCCTAGAAAGATCCTAATTGGGGTTATGAACCTTATAACTCTATAAAAATAACTACTTACTAAGTCCCCCAACCCTCCAAGTGCTGTTTAGAACAAGTACAAAACGCCAAGCACATGACCCAAACGTGCAAGAGTTCCCCTACAGCTCTCTCGAGGTACCCTCCGTTCCCGACACCCTGGACACCAGAAAGCTAGCTAGCCAAATCCTCCAAACCCGCCCGAAACCCCAAATTAGGGGTTCAACCCTAAGCCTCTGAGCCCTGAACCTCGAAATCTCCCACACCCTAAACCCTAAACCCTCAACCCTAAACCCTAAACCCCAAAACCCTAAACCCTAAACCCTAAACCCTAAACCCTAAACCGCCTAAACCCTAAACCCTTTATAAAATTTTGCCCCTCCCATTCTGTTGTCGCGAGGTGCCAGAGCGCATCATCACATATCCAGGCCGCACCTGCGGGCTTCTTGGACTTAGGGTTTAGGGTTTAGGGCTTAGGGTTTGGGGTTTAGGGTTTGGGGTTTAGGGTTTCTTGGACTTAGGGTTTAGGGTTTAGGGTTTAGGCTTTGAGGTTTAGGGTTAGATGGTTCTAGGGTTTAGGGGTTTAGTGTTAGATGGTTCTAGGGTTTAGGGGTTTAGGGTCAGATGGTTCTCGGGTTTCGGGGTTTAGGGTTAGATGGGTTTAGGGTTTGGGGTTTAGGGTTAGATGATTCTAGGGGTTAGGGGTTTAGGGTCAGATGGTTTTAGGGTTTGGGTTTAGGGTTCAAGGGTTTAGGGTTTAGGGTTTAGGATTTGGAGCTTCGCGTTTGGGGTCTAGGGTTTGGGGTTTAGGATATAGGATATGGGGCTTGGGGATCCGGGGTGGGGTTTCGGATTTAAGGGTTCAGGGTTTAGGGTTTGGGGTTTAGGGTTTAGGATTTTTGATCGCCCCTTTTCCGTCTGCCTTAAGAGGAGTCAGGAGCAACATGTTGGTTGAGGCTGGGAAATGGGAGCCTGCGTACTCTGAGGGGGATTCAACCACCAAGTCACCACATCATCAACCCCAACTGGACTTGGGGTTTAGGGTTTAGGGCTTAGTTCTTTTTGTTCTTGAGGGCCTTCTTTGTGCAGGGTTTGGGGAACCCTAAACCCTAAACCCTTAGGGTGTTAGGCTACCTTATACAGGTCCCTGGTGCAGCTTCAACTCTAGGTACCTCAGTTAAGCTTGGGTATCAAGGATCCAACTGCTTAGGATGCGTACGATCCGTTCAGAAATGAGACCCTCCCTTGAAATCCCAAAATAACTCTACCGTAATATGCCCCCCCTTCCAGCCTCAAAAACAAAAGCATGTCGACATGTTAAGACCCCGAATGAAATAGCTGAAACCCAAGCCAGAAACCCCCCATGCAAACCTTGTAAAACCGCATGTCAACTCCACCGAAACAAAACCCCTTATCATATACCCAAATAGTAGATACTTTGCCCTTAACATCGTTTGTATATGCGTATTTAATTGCCATAGTACATATACTGTTTGGGCACAGGGACCCTTAGGGAACCGTGTATGTTTCTGCATGTCCGCCTGGGCAACCTGGGCCTGCGAGCCGGATGGGTTCTGGAAGCGCTGCATGGCGCCGGAAGTGAAATCCAGGCACTCTTCCGAGAGCCTGATATACACATAACATGTAATATGTAAATACCGGCATATTGTCTCACCTGCCCACAAACATTAAGAGAGAGCAGGGCTGTATCGTCTGAAAACACTGCTTGTACCACGTCTGCATCGCTCTACTTGCCTTTGTCTTGGGCTCCACACATTCACACAAGCGATGGACAGGTGTCTTTGCGTTCAAGTGTCGCGCAAACAGAGCTTCCAATGCTTCAGGAGTTCCTGTGAAGTGAAACGTCATCAAATAGTAACTCACCTTAAGACCTTCAGCCCGACAAGGAAACATCCGATGGAAATCCCACATGGGGGTTTCCGAAAATAGGGGACCCTAGCTTAGTACCCTAAATAGTAGGACCCTTATGATAAGGACTCCAAAAGAAGGTACCCCTTGTTTTCGGTAACTCCCAGATGTCCCTGCCATTGTAGACTACGGCCCGAAACCACGAGCCCCAAACTCCATGGCCAAGCAGAAGCCCAACAGTCTCGGAAGGTCTCGGCTGCAGTGTTCCTTCTGCTTCTTGTTCTGAGGGTCCGTGTTGGCAGGTTGCTGCAGGGCTTTCGAAATAATGATGATGGTGATGAGGAGGGCGATGAGGATGACGAGGATGATGGTGCTGAAGATGCTGAAGTGGGTGCTGCTGCTCAGATTGTGTGGGCCTGTGTGCAAGCCCAGTCGGGTGTCATTGCAATGGGTAGCATTCATCAAAACATACGAAGTGTCGGCCAGGAACCCTAAACCCTAAACCCAAACCTAAAACCCCTGTGCGCATCCTTGGCCCTTGAGCCGAAATGCCTCTTAAAGCTCTTGCGCCAGCCTAAACCCACGCCCTAAGCGCCATCAACCCTAAAGCCTAAACACCCTAAACCCCAAACTCTAGACCTTAAGCCCTAAACACCCTGAACCCTGAACCCTAAAACCCCGAAACTTTTTCACGGGAGTGCATGCCAAGTTGGATGGTTTTTGCTAGGTCGGAGGCCAGGACCTGTGAATCTGCAACACATCTCAAACGGGTATTTGCAAGAATTGATCCCAAACCGTTAGTTTAGGGTTTAGGGTTTAGGGTTTAGGGTTTAGGGTTTAGGGGTTTAGGGTTTAGGGTTTACCTCAAACCTGATATAGCGGCCTGACTCACGCCGGTAGTTATCAGGATTAGCCCCAGCCCTAACATAGGGGATTGACTCAAACCGGTCTTTACAAGGATTAACCCTAAACCCTAAATCCT